AGGTAGGAGGGAGCGAGGCCGTGAATGGCCTTGTAGGTGAGGATGAGGATCTTGAAATCAATCCTCTGGGGGATGGGGAGCCAGTGGAGGCGAGCGAGGGTGGGAGTGATGTGGTCCTGGTGCGGGACAGTACACGAGCTGCAGAGTTCTGAATGACCTGCAGCTTGTGGAGGGAGGTGGCGGGAAGGCCGGCGAGGAGAGAGTTCCCATAGTCCAGCCTTGAGGTGACAAAGGCGTGAACCAGGGTTTCAGCCGCGTGAGGGGTGAGGTAGTGCCGTAATCTGGCGATGTTCCGGAGGTGATGGAAGGCGGTGCCAGTTGTGGTGCGGATGTGAGGGAGAAAGGACAGCTCAGGGTCGAACAAAACGCCGAGGTTCCTGACTGGCTTTGAGAGGTGGAGAGTGCAGCCTTGGATGCTGATGGTGTCAGCGCCTGAGGTGCGGAGGCGCTGACGTGAGCCAATCAGGAGGGCCTCGGTTTTTCGCACGTTGAGCTGAAGAAAGTTGTCTCTCGTCCAGGACTCGATGTCGGACAGGCGGCTGTCAGGACATCGGTGGTCGTGGAGTTGAGAGTAGAGGAGGAAAGGTAGAGTTGGGTGTCATCCGCATACATGTGGAAGTTAACCCCATGTTTGCGGATGATGTCACCGAGGGGGAGCATATAGAGGGTGAAGAGGAGGGGACCGAGGACAGAGCCCTGAGGGACACCACATGAGACAGTACGGGGGGTGGAGGAGAAGCCATTCGTTGAGACGAAGTGAAGACGGTGGGAAAGGTAAGAGCTAAACCATTCAAGGACAGTGCCTTGAAGGTTGAGGTGGGAGGACAAGCGGTGGAGTAGGATAGCGTGGTCGACCGTATCGAATGCTGCCGATAGGTCGAGGAGGACGAGGAGACAGAGGGAGCCCTGGTCACAGATGGTCAGGATATCATTGGTGACCTTGACCAGGGCAGTTTCTGTGCTATGAGCAGCACGGAAACCTGACTGAAGGGGTTCGAAAAGAGAATGGGTGGAGAGGAAAGAGCGCAGTTGGGCGGCGACAACTCTTTCCAGGACCTTGGAGAGAACACACACACACTCCCCCACACACACTCCCCACACACACACACTCCCCCCACACACACTCCCCCACACACACTCCCCCACACACACACACTCCCCCACACACACTCCCCCACACACACACTCCCCACACACACTCCCCGCCCCCCCCACACCACACACACTCCCCCACACACACACTCCCCACACACACTCCCCCACACACACACACTCCCCCACACACACCCCCCACACACACACACTCCCCACACACACACTCCCCCACACACTCCCCACACACACTCCCCCCCCACACACACTCCCCCACACACACTCCCCCCACACACACCCCCCCACCACACACTCCCCCCACACACACTCCCCCCCACACCCCCCCCACACACACTCCCCCACACACACACCTCCCCCACACACACACTCCCCCCACACACACACTCCCCCACACACACTCCCCCCACACACACACTCCCCCCCACACACACTCCCCCCACACACACACACTCCCCCACACACACACTCCCCCCACACACACACTCCCCCACACACACACCACTCCCCCACACACACTCCCCCACACACACCCCCCACACACACTCCCCCACACACACTCCCCCACACACACTCCCCCACACACACTCCCCCCACACACACTCCCCCACACACACACACTCCCCCCACACACACTCCCCCCACACACACACTCCCCCCACACACACACACACTCCCCCCCACACACACTCCCCACACACACACACTCCCCACACACACACACTCCCCACACACACTCCACACACACACACTCCCCCACACACACTCCCCCCACACACACTCCCCCACACACACACACTCCCCCACACACACACTCCCACACACACACACTCCCCCACAACACACTCCCCCCACACACACTCCCCCACACACCTCCCCCCACACACACTCCCCCACACACACTCCCCCCACACACACTCCCCCCACACACACACACTCCCCCACACACACTCCTCCCACACACACACTCCCCCACACACACTCCCCCACACACACTCCCCACACACTCCCCCACACACACACTCCCCCACACACACACTCCCCCACACACACACTCCCCCACACACACTCCCCCACACACACACTCCCCCAAACACACTCTCCCCAACACACTCTCCCCCACACACACTCTCCCCCCACACACACACACTCCCCCCACACACACTCCTCCCACACACACACTCTCCCCCACACACACACTCCCCCCACACACACTCCCCCCACACACTCTCCCCCACACACACACTCCCCACACACACACTCCCCCACACACACCCCCACACACACTCCCCAACACACACACACTCCCCACACACACTCCCCCCACACCTCCCCCACACACACTCCCCCACACACACACACTCCCCCACACACACTCCCCCACACACACACTCCCCCCACACACACACACTCCCCCCACACACTCCCCCCACACACACTCCCCCCACACACACTCCCCCCACACACACACACTCCCCCACACACACTCCCCCACACACACACACTCCCCCACACACACACTCCCCCACACACACACTCCCCCCCACACACACACTCCCCCCCACCACCACTCCCCCACACACACTCCCCCACACACCACTCCCCCACACACACACTCCCCCCACACACACACACTCCCCCACACACACTCTCCCACACACACACACTCCCCCCACACACACACTCCCCCACACACACTCCCCCCCACACACACTCCCCCACACACACACACTCCCCCACACACACTCCCCCACACACACTCCCCACACACACACTCTCCCCCCACACACACACTCCCCCCACACACCACACTCCCCCCCACACACACTCCCCCACACACACTCCCCCACACACACACTCCCCCACACACACACTCTCCCCCACACACACCACTCTCCCACACACACACACTCTCCCACACACACACACTCCCACACACACTCCCCCCCACACACACTCTCCCACACACACACACTCTCCCACACACACACACTCCCACACACACACTCCCCCACACACACACACCCCCACACACACACAGAGGCGGAGCAGCGCCACGTGACCGCGTTTGTCAGACACACGGCGCGGGTTTGTGTCTCCGCGGCTTCCGTACAGCATTGTGATGACGTGTGGTTCAGGGGTCACAGTGACACACACACAGTGACAGAGACTCTCACACAGTGACAGAGACTCTCACACACAGTGACAGAGACTCTCACACAGTGACAGACTCTCACACACAGTGACAGAGACTCTCACACAGTGACAGAGACTCTCACACAGTGACAGAGACTCTCACACACAGTGACAGAGACTCTCACACACAGTGACAGAGACTCACACAGTGACAGAGACACTCACACACAGTGACAGAGACACTCACACACAGTGACAGAGACACTCACACACAGTGACAGAGACTCACACACAGTGACAGAGACACTCACACAGTGACAGAGACACTCACACACAGTGACAGAGACTCTCACACAGTGACAGAGACACTCACACACAGTGACAGAGACTCTCACACAGTGACAGAGACTCTCACACAGTGACAGAGACTCTCACACACAGTGACAGAGACTCTCACACACAGTGACAGAGACTCTCACACAGTGACAGAGACACTCACACACAGTGACAGACTCTCACACACAGTGACAGAGACTCTCACACAGTGACAGAGACTCTCACACAGTGACAGAGACACTCACACACAGTGACAGAGACTCTCACACACAGTGACAGAGACACTCACACACAGTGACAGAGACTCTCACACAGTGACAGAGACTCTCACACACAGTGACAGAGACTCTCACACACAGTGACAGAGACTCACACAGTGACAGAGACACTCACACACAGTGACAGAGACACTCACACACAGTGACAGAGACACTCACACACAGTGACAGAGACTCTCACACACAGTGACAGAGACACTCACACAGTGACAGAGACACACACAGTGACAGAGACTCTCACACAGTGACAGAGACTCACACACAGTGACAGAGACTCTCACACAGTGACAGAGACTCTCACACAGTGACAGAGACTCACACACACAGTGACAGAGACTCACACACAGTGACAGAGACTCACACACAGTGACAGAGACTCTCACACACAGTGACAGAGACACTCACACACAGTGACAGAGACTCTCACACACAGTGAGATAGAGTCACTCACACAGTGACAGAGAGTGTCACACACAGTGACAGAGACCGTCACACACAGTGACAGAGAGCGTCACACATAGTGACAGAGAGTCACTCACACAGTGACAGAGACTCTCACACAGTGACAGAGACTCACACACACAGTGACAGAGACTCACACACAGTGACAGAGACTCACACACACAGTGACAGAGACTCTCACACACAGTGACAGAGACACTCACACACAGTGACAGAGACTCACACACAGTGACAGAGACACTCACACAGTGACAGAGACACTCACACACAGTGACAGAGAGAGTCACACACACAGTGACAGAGAGAGTCACACACAGTGACAGAGAGTCACACACACAGTGACAGAGACACACACACAGTGACAGAGAGAGTCACACACACAGTGACAGAGACTCTCACACACAGTGACAGAGACTCACACACACAGTGACAGAGAGTCACACACAGTGACAGAGACTCTCACACAGTGACAGAGACTCTCACACACAGTGACAGAGACTCTCACACAGTGACAGAGACTCTCACACAGTGACAGAGACTCACACACACAGTGACAGAGACTCACACACAGTGACAGAGACTCACACACACAGTGACAGAGACTCTCACACACAGTGACAGAGACTCTCACACACAGTGACAGAGACTCTCACACACAGTGACAGAGACACACACAGTGACACACACAGTGACAGAGAGACACACACACACACACACACGCAGGTGCAGCCGCAGAGACCACCCACACGAGAGGACATGGACGGAGACTGGGATGAAATCAGACGGCTCGCCGCCGACTTCCAGAGAGCGCAGTTTGCCAGTACAATGCAAAGGTGAGAGGCGATGAGGTTTTAAACGATGAATTGTTTCCAGAGTTATGTCCCCCCATCTAAACCCCTTCCCTCAGACGTCAGCCACCTCTCCCCCACCCCCTCCTGCTTCCTGGCCTGTAGTGTAGGCCTCTCAATCCAGGAAACACTAGTAATAGCCCCTGCATTGCTCATATGTATTTCATGTCACGAGAATGTCTCAAAAAACACTTCACAGGATTTAGTGTAAAGTGTATTTTATACTGGCTCCTTCTGTGGGTTTCTTCTGACGTGCCCTAATATGTTGCCTGGAAGAAATTGTATGCCAACATCCTGTTCAAAACTTGACCCCGACTTAACTTATCGCAACCACTTAAGTCACGGTGCTGTCAATATCTGGCCACATTTATGTATGTATTCGTACGTATGCCTAACTCACCTCTGGATAACTCATCCACTGAACCCTTTTCCCTTGGAGTGACAAGTTATCATGACTTTACTGTCGTTCTTAGAACTGTGAAGTTATTGGGCATAGAGACTTTCCAGTAGAATTTTAAAATTGGCAGTCACCATATGTTCGTAGAGTGAATTGCTCTCAAGTTACCATGTAAATGAAAAGGAATATTTGTGTAGAAGCAAGTTTAATAACAATAATAACAACAGATAATGATCCATGTATTTATTTGGTCAAGCACCTTATTACTAAGTCATTGACACATCTCAAAGCACAGGATACTGTGTTCAGTGCAGTATCTGTCTTTCGAACAGAACAGCAAGTTATGTTTACCCCCAATGGCAGCTCAATGCAGCTTTCAGATTTTGTGTGGAAGATTAATTGAGTGGGAAAAAAATGTGAAATTTTGGAAGTCGAATTTAGGTTTAGATAGAAATAACACACAGTGTTTTGGGGGAACACAGAAATAATGGTAGTATCTTGTTTATGATGCCACCAACACATAACCTTAATTTATGAGGATGGCAATTGGAAGCCTTTTTTTCTTGTTCCCTCGTTCCTCTTCACTTTGAAGGTGTTTAGCTCTTTTTGTTGTTCTACTGGATGTAGTCTCAGGGACGGACATTCATTGTACAAAGTACCCACAAGATGGGTGCAGCTTTGAGAATGCTCATAGGCTATTCTACTGGGGAAGGGAAGAATCACATCTGAGCTCAATCTGGTTATTGCCTGAGCAGGGATCACAATAACAAGAGCTATTTGGATATTGAAAGTCTAATCCTACCACAATACTAACATTGGATATTAAATCCACTGTCTTTCCATGGGTTGGTTACTATTTAGAGATGGAAGCTGTGGTGGTTATTCATTTGTGTGGCACTTTCACCTCTGAGTCAGAAGGTTGTGGGTTCAACCCGCATGTTGGGACTTGGAAGTCATATAGTCGAAGCTGACGCTCCAATGCAGAACTGGGCGTACGCTGCATTGTTGGAGGTGCCATCCTTCGGGTGAGACATTAAACTGAGCCTTGTTGGCCTGTACAGGTGGATGTGAAAGATCCCATAGCACTATACAAAGAGAAAAGGGAGTTTCTCCTGGTATCCTGGCCAACAATCTCCCAAATAAAATTGGTCACTCACTTCATGACTGTTTGTGAGACATTGTGTGCACAAATTGACTGCCTTGTTCACCAACTAAACACAGTCACTAAAGTTTACAGTGCTTTGGGATGTCCTCCTGATGTGAAATATTTTACACTAAATGTAAGGAGTATTATTATCTGATTTCCATCAGCTAAAATTGATCATTCACTTCATGGCTGTTTATGGGACATTGCCTTGTACAAGTTGGCTGCCACATTTGCCTACAAAATACAGTCAATACAGTCTACCTTTGCATTTGAAGCACTTGCAACATCCTCGAGACATGAAAGCTGCTACATCAAATGTAGAGATCTTCATTACTCTCCGCATTCCAATATGTTGACAGATTCTCCTCAGTCCACACACCTATATTTACCGAGCGGCAATTAGGAACCCAGTTTTTAGTCGATTGATGGATTGCTTTTCCAGAGGTAATAATTCCTTCAAAAAACAATTATAATAATAAATTGTTCACTCAATCCACGATTGTTTGTGGGACACTGCTGTACGCAATTGGCTGCCACGTTTCGCCCACAAAATATACAGTCAATTAATTTTATAGTATATTATGTGAAGCGCTTTGAGACGTCTAGAAGACGTGAAAAGGGCTATATCAAATGCAAGGATTATTATTATTATAATTAAAGACCATTTTACAAATAGGAAATGCACTATTTTTCTAATCATGTTATCTTAAAGCACTGTCTGAATAAAACAAAGCTACAACTGGTAGAGTCTGCCTGTATTTTCTTTTCCAATGAACATTCCAAGACTAGACTTGATAATTATTGAACAACTCAATTGAAATTTTGATTGTATGAATGAAAGTTCAGTTCTCTATTATTGTAGTTGTTTGGCCAATCTTCTCTTTACATACACAGTGGAACCCTGTTATAATGTCCTTCATTATAACATTGATTCTCTTATAGTTTATGTTGGAGTGTGGAGCCCACCGTTTACTTATTTTAAAAAAATCCAATATGCGCTCACCGGCTCAATCAACACGTCAAAATGCACCTGATGGACGTGTGATGTGCGGGAAGTGGTGTCAGTGGTAACCTGAAATCATGGAAGATGGTCATTTTGGATTTTAATGTGCAGTGTTTTGAAATGCTGATAATAATTCCAGCATTTGATATTAGAACATAAGAAATGCTGGACGAAAAAAGACCAAGGTCCATCTCGGTCGCCTTCTACTTTTCTGGCGGTCGCATGCGAATATATCCCAAACTACCTATGTACTATATCCCATAATGTTATTTCCTAGGTGATATAGCACCTATCACATCGTTGAGACATTGCAAAGTGCTTCACATGTTACACTGTAAAGTAGTTTGACTGTGTATTTTGTAGGGAAGTCAGCAGCCAATTTGCACAGCAATGTCCCACTAATAGCCATGGAGCAAATGGAGCTGAACGGCTTTCTATGCCATTTTCAGCGCTTTGGGATGTCCTCCCAACGTGAAAGGTGCTCAATAAATGTAATTTTGTTACAGCTGTTGTTGCTGCGAATGCACAATGGATGCCCAGAGATTGTATATAGTGCCGATTGGGCTCTGACTGCCACATTTATAACCGGGCTCCACTGTTGTGTACATTGCTTCTGTACATTGCTTGTGGCTTAATGGCCCATTTAAGAGTTTGTAAATCAAATTTTATTTATTTTGATGAAGTAGATTTTTACCCACTTCATATTTAAGAACAGTTCATCGTGTATGTATTTTGAAATTAATTTCCTAGTTATAATGTTTATATTATTTTATACAGGCTGTCTGAGCAAAACTGCATTGAGATTGTTGCTAAGCTTACAGAAGCCAAACAACTGGATGTGGTACACACACTGGATGGTAAGGAGTACATCACTCCAGCTCAGATCGCCAGAGAAATACGAGATGAGCTCTATTTTCATGGAGGTGAGTTTAGCAAATTAAGTACAAATTGATTGAGGTGACAGCCCAGATGTAATGCAATTGTATAATTGTAGTTATAGTTGTTAAACAGGCAATGTCATCTTCAGGGAACTACGTACATTTGAATAGTGCATTGCTCTGAAATTATTTTCTACAGTTAACAAAATATTCTTACATTTTTTTTGAAAGCTGATTGTGGTCTAGCTTCTCTGCTAGACTGCTCAGGTGATGAATGTTAGGGGAGAGTCCCGTGTGTGAGCTGCAAAGAATCCATCTATTTCAACAGGGAACCTGTCACCTGACCCAGAGCTGCTCGTCCCAAGAAATAGAATAGTACTACATATTTGTGGATGTTGTATTTTTACGGGAATGCCCAATTCAGGATATTAAAAAGTGCATTTACCCCATTGAAGTAAATGGAGTCATTCGAAAATGTCTATAGGTTTTTTCACACCCCAGAAACTCGCAATCATTACCAATGAGGCTGATCCTTCTGAATCTAAAAAAAACTTCTGTTAAAAGTTTAAAAAAAAACATTTTTTGAAACAATGTAAATGGTATACAATATCTGGGATTGATTACTTTGAAGAAAGAAAGGACTTCACATTAGAGTTTTTCTTATTGCTTTGCCTTTAGAGTGGTTGGTCATCATTGATTAGAAGATTTTTAGGAAAAATTAAAATAAAATAAAAATGATTGGGTAAAATACAATTTGCATTGACCCACATGTTCATAAGTCATTCAAGTACTTTGAATAATTGACAGTAAATTCCTTGTATAAATCTTAATTTCTTCTACTTTACAGGTAGAATAAACATTGTGGATCTACAACAAGTGAGTATTACAATACAATGCAAAATTACATTTGTATAGGGCCTTTTACGTCGGGAGAACATCCCAAGGTGATGGAGGAACAGTCAGGGATTTAGAGTACTTTAAAGAAATAAAAGTTTTTTAGGTTCTGATTGAATTCAAAGACAAATGATGTATGACAGTAATATTAGCTCATCGGAGCCGAAAAATTCAAGATACCAATTTGGTACTTCACAGATAATCCACCAGTAATCACAGATCCTGTGAATACCTATTTTCATGTATAGAAATCTGATTTAAATTCAACATAAAATTAATAAAAATCGTCATTGATTCTCTGACCGAGACACTAATAACAAAAATGGAGGGGGGGATACAATCCTTGAGGGATACTTTATGTTTAATCGTTTAGAATTGCTTGGAGCTTGGCAGAGCACCACAGTGAAGCTGGAGGAACCAAACAAAGGAGCATTTAGTAACTTAAAGCGCTAACCTTTTTCTGTTGATTTTTATTTTTTTATGGGCTCATGAAGGCTGTACAAAACCTTGGCCTTTTGTTTAACTCTCCTTCAAAACCTCCTTCAAACTTTTCATTTGGGTTCTGACCTAGTCTGATTTCCTCCATCACCTCATATCAACAACCTCAGCCACAACCTCCCTTCCAACCTGCCGAAACACTCGTCTGTGCCTTTGTCATTTCCAGACATGATTTTTCCAACATCCTCCTTGCTGGCCCCCCCACGTTCACACCCATTAAGTTCCAGGCCATGCTGCTCTGCTGTCCATTTTCTCATCCACACCTGACTCTATGATCCCATCAACCCCATCCTTGCTTGGCTCCCTATGCCCTAGTGGACTGACTTTTAAGATCTTCATCCTTGCCTTGAAAGGCTATCTCTTATAATCTTGCTCCCAGGGCATTTCCTCTCCTTTGTCAACTCTGGCCTACTTCATACCTGCTTAATACCACACCCCCACCCTGCCCCCCATCAAGTATTCATTTCCCTTTTTAAATGCTTTTATGGACTCGGCTTCAACAATCATTTGCAGCTAGGCATTCCACAAGCTAACCTGTTAGAAACTATTTTTCTAAAGTGTTTTTCTTTATTTAAAATATGTTTTTTTCCCTTAGATTCTAAATGTGGATTTAATGCACATCGAAACCAAAGCAAATGACATTGCGAAAATGGAGAAAAGCATCCAGCTCATCCTGGGACAGCTGATTGATGAGTCAGTACTAAGAATTTCTTATCCTAAACGCCTTCATTTTTTTTCTGAAAAAAGAATCACACAGTAGGTGAATCTGTTAACGACCAATAAAAGCAAGATTTTGTTTATGACAATAAGAGGCTTTGGGTTTCAAAATAATTGTTCGCTTTGAGATTTCCTTTATCAAAAATGTTTTTGTTCATGCCATCCATTACCTCCAGTCAAGAGGATTCGTGAATAGTCCGTTACCAGACCTGTGCCAGTGTCTCATAGAAACTTGCCCCTTTGTAACATGTTTACCTGTTGAAGAACAAACTGTCAGACTACTGCTCAGCAGATTTCATTGTTATTGAAGAGCCGCTCTCTTCAATAATGTAATTGATGGTCGGAAAGCTTTTAGGGAATCATTTGTGAGCAGAGGTGAATACGTTTGTGTTGTCTGTATTAATACTGGAGCAGAATGAAATGATGTCATGCCAAAGCCACCTTTTCAAGGGTAGATGGGCTCAGAAGATTCATTTTCAGATTTCATGGCTCAATCCTGATTGTCTTTGTTTCTCTTAACAGTTTTCAGTTTGGTCTTGTTTTACAGTTTTCATTTGGATTGTGTGGCTTGGGTTTGTAAAACCGGACCCTGTGCTTTCATAGGCCGTGGGTTGTCAGGTTGCCACTGACCAGTCTGTTTCTCCTGCTGATGTGCCAGGCTGCCAGTCTGTCATCAACGCTACCCTGAAGTACTGCAGACCTGACTGGCTCAGCAACCCGACCCACCCCACTTCTGAAGCTGGGATTCACATCATCAAAAATTAATCTATGATAATAATAGTTCTTACATTTAGTATAGAAGTTTTCATGTTGGAAAACATCTCAGTGTGCTTCACTGTATATACTGTAACATGGAGTAACTTGTATCCCTTGTGAGAGGTAATTGCCTGACAATGTTATAAAAGGTAACTTCCAAGTGTGGCAATGGCCTAATAACAAATTATTTTGGGGGTGGAACCTTGTTTGAAAAGAGTCTTGATAGATTATGCTTAGACTAAGTAAATATATAGCTGGTAATAGAGAATACGATCTTCTGTTTAACTAGAAATTATCTGGATCAGATGGCTGAAGAAGTAAATGACCGACTACAAGAAGCTGGGCAGATAACCATATCAGAGCTCTGTAAAACATATGACCTCCCTGTTGAGTTCATTACAGAGGTTAGTAGATAACAGTATGGTATATGTAAATTGTTGGGCGAACTAAAATGGAGACTAAAACCCAATATTTGTAACCGTGACTACTGAAGTGCATCATGCTGCTCTCGGATCGAGTAATACTTAATCCTAAAATATCTGTAATTGTATTTATTNAAAAAAACTAACCTTCTTCATCCGAACCGTTTGTGATCTTGAATTTCGTTCTGAAAACATGAAATATTGGATCTACGAATTGATTTTTTTTCTGCTTATGTCAATACCTCCTCTAGACATGCTATTTTGTGGCATGTTTAATGTCTACTAAATGCATTGTTATTTATCTACAATTGTGATACAATTTCAAAGTTCCTTTCAATGCTTAATATAAAGTTCATTTTTTTAAAAAAGTGGAAATCCTACTTTTTGAAAGCGCTGAAATTGTTTCTACATATTTTTGTTTACTTAAGAGTGTTTTTTTGTATCTCTATTTGAAGGCTTTGTCACATCGCCTAGGTAAAATTATAAATGGGCAGTTGGATTGTTATGATCAAGGAGTCATCTTCACTGATGCTTTCGTTGCTCAACATAAGGCACGTATTCGTGGACTTTTCAGTGCAATTACCAGGTAGGAACTGAGCCTTCAAACATATTTTTCTAAATGCTAAAGTGGATAAATGAGTGTTAGAAGAAAATCTGTGGCATGGCTGTGCATAGAGCACAAGTTTACGCCAGTTTTAGTTGCTATTGATTAGTGATCAACTTGTTTCACTATATTTAAAAAAGGCATGTCTTCATATTTTATTTTTTAGTCAATTAGGTGTCTCACACATGCGGAAACTTTTGACCATGCTTAAGAGCATCCAAATCAGAGTTTCATGCATCTCATATGTGTGTTGGAATGGAATGCACACTTTCTCCCGGGAAGGACATATCCTTACCTGATTCCAGAGAGTATTAGACTCAGCTGGCAAGGGCCAAGGTTTGGGAACCCCAGAGTATGTGTTGGGGTGCTGCTGGAGTCTAACCAGCTAAAACTGCATAGCTTGTAATTTTCTGGCAAAGCACCTTCCTTCCCCTCCCCCCTTCCCAGAGAATAATTTATGTGTATATTAATATCGGACAATAATGGAAATGACAGTACCGAAGAGGATCTTTTCATGCAGGAAGGCAATGATGGAGCTGGGGGGGCTTTCTGCACACATGTGGGGTGAACACCAAAGCACTGACCGGTGATCGCTTCCCATTATGGCACTTTTTTTAATGACCCCCTCCTCCCAACTCCCCAACTACATTGTTATAACATGGTTCCCTCGTAAAAGCATTGAATCCTGTTTCGTTGTTTATATTCCTTAAAATTTCTGTTCTTTTCAGCTGCTGAGAATTCAATTGATACTGTAGCATTTTCTATTTTTTTCACTTGTTACTTTCATTTCATCGAAATATATCCTTAATTTCTGTTCACACCGCCAGCAAGTAAACCAACTTAAATAGAATTCTTTGTAACCTCACTGAAAGTGAACAACCAATTTCATGCCGATCAGACAGCAGTAGTTTTAGTTCCCAGATTGTTGATTTTGCTGTTCTCAGAGGGCCGCAGTTAGCACGATTGGTGTAGGTGTTGTGTTTGCAGACTCGGGACAGGAAACATTTGTGTCCAGTAACCCCTTCTGGAAAGCCACCTGTGTAGACACTGGGTGACGAGAGATTAGACTTGGCTGAGACACTCACTTGTTGTCGTCTGTGTTTAACATGGTGTTTTCCTCAACTTGGGTGACACAATTTAAGATTTTAAGAATTCTTGCAGCTGAAATGAAATGCAGTTGATGTTGTTTACTGTTCTTCATCAATAGGCCAATACCAGTGAGCACTTTGATAACTCATTATAAATTTCAAGAACGTCTTCTTTACTGTAAGTTTACAATTGAATGTTGTGTATTCTGTGTTTCAATAATTTTGCCAACTTTTATTGTTTGGAGAGTGTTGTTACACAAGATTTCAGTGTAATTCTGATCATACAATATGTAAATACAACAGTATGTTGAACCATTTTCAATTGAATTATTTTGTAAACTGTCTGCATGATGAGATAAAAATAGTACAGTATTAGAATGTTGTTTCTTCCCTATGTATAGTGAAGAGCACAGTCCTTTCACATGGTTTGGGATTGACCTCAAATGGATAACATTTATTTTCTAATGACTAATGGATTGAAGGCAAATTGTCTTTCAATCCAATCCCAACACGTGAGTCTACAGGTTGAATATCTCCTTGAATTTAACACCAGAATCAGATAGTTGATTCATTGTGCAAGATCTGTTTCTGAGGTTGAAGCCTTCAGGCACTGTGATTTAGTGGAGTATGGAGGACATAATGGAAATACTTGGTGCACAGCCCATCGAATAAATCGAAAAACTACACTAACTAGAGGGCTACCACACAGCTTTGATGAAAATCTTGAGTCGATTCACTCTTAACACATTTTGCCAGCCTTGCTTTGCTTCTGTAGGGATGTTATTTTTCATACTATCATACTCAATAAGGATATAGAATGGAAATTATATTATTTTTCTCATCTTCTTCCATGGTGCAGATAATATTAACTCTTAATGCATTAGCAGCTCCAGGGAATTCTTTGCTTTCACTTTTTTTGAAAGGGTAATTTCAGCTCACATTGCAATGCTGCAAATATCCTGTTATGTGAATACTGCTGCTCCACTATTGGGAGTGGATTTTTTTTTACTGTAATTGATTTTTAAATATCTAAAATGTGCAATTTTTAAACAGTTTTAAATATCTACTCTACCTATCTTCTCCTTTTCGCACACTGTTCCATTTTTACTTAATTTATTGCCTAAGTATCATATTTTAACTTTTAGTTTACTTTCATGTTTATCTTAAATGCAATAAACATATTTCCCACTTACTTCATCAACCTGGCTGCAGCACAGTTAAGCTTTTACTTTCCAATATGTGCTCTTATGAGTATCTCACGCTAGCAAATTGGGAACACACTATTTGCTGCTTTCTGCATCTATTCCATTCTATATCCTTATTGAGTATGATAGTATGAAAAATAATCATGTGGCATGGGATGGTTACATCGCATGGCTATAATTTCTCAAAGCTTTTCTCATGCTGGAAATGTGCAAAATATGGTGACTGAAGAGTAATTGGATAATTAATGTTGCAGCCTTTTTGGAGGAGCTTCTAACCAGTGGACGATTGAATGGAGCAGTGATTGGTGGCAGACAAGATAAGGCAATTTATATTCCTGACATCTACTCGAGAACACAGAATAACTGGGTGGATTCTTTTTTCAAGCAGAATGGCTACTTGGGTAATTGTTTTAATGGTTATTAATACAAGTATAACAGGCTAGAGTGTTAGAACTGTAAGACTCAATTTTAAACCATAATTTGAGCTTCGGACTGGATATAATAATAGGGTTGAAAACTGACATCAAGCTAAATGCTGACCAGTGTGTGAATAGGAGAACATCTGCTAAGCATCTGTATAATTAATTACAGAGCTGGCAACACTGGACTGGCACGGGCCAATACAACTTCAGGGTCATTTTGCAATGGATATCATGGCTACAGCACAATATTCACCTATGTTTAAAAGGCAAAACATGTTTCAAGTGTCATAATTATTTAACACCTTATCCTAGGCCTTGATATTGTTTTATAATTCACCAGGTGTGGAAGAAGTATAACAATAATAGTAATCCTTGCATTTGATATTGTGACTTTCACTTCAGAAGGACATCTCAAAGTGCAGTAAAGTGTAATGACTGTATTTTCTAGACAAAGGGTAATGTTGGGCATATAATTGGAGAATTGTTCTTTTTAAAAGTGTTTCTTTTCTCTGTACCAGAATACGATACTTTGAGCAGATTGGGAATCCCTGATCCGATAAACTACATAAAGAAACGGTACAAATCGACGCCACTGACCTACTTAAAAGCAACTTGTGTTGGACATGTGATTGTGGATCAGGTTGAGGCCTCAGTGGAGGAGGCTCTCCGATCAGACACATGGGTGGATATACAGGTACTGATACGGTGCCACTGCTTGTATTAAACCCTCTACTCCAATCCGAACGGATCGATTTCAAGATCTTCACACTCGTCTTCAAAACCCTTCGTGCCCTGGCACCTCCCTAACTCTCCGACCTGCTTATCCCCTAACCCACTACTCGCTGCCTCCACTTGACTGGCTCAAAGTTAAACAAGAATTACTGACTGGGAATCTGGGTGAAGAGAAAAGGGATGGAAAAGATGAGACTTAAGATGGTTTTGAAGCTGGGAAGGGTTGGTCAAGGCAGAGGGACTCCGGGTTGTTGTTGCAGAGCAGGACAGAATGGCTGAAAGCTCACCTACCGATGGTGGAGAGGATCAAATGGGGAACATGAAATACAATGGCAAATCAATATGCAGAGTTGCACTGATACTAACATGCACGGAAGTCTAGAGTGGGGAGAGGGTGGTGAGCATTGAAATGTTTCAGTGAGTGCCTTAATTAAAATGTATATTTTCTAGCTAATGCCTACGTTTCACCATAATGTCTGGCCCATATTGAGAATTGTAAACCTTTAGATGGCTGAGCAATTATTTCAATTTGACGAGCCCCCAACCATGTTCCTCTTTCTCAACTCCCACCAAATTATTTTTTATGTTGGTTACAGAAAATAAGATCTGAAATATAAATGTGCGATTTCCAGTTGACGGTACATTGCCAAAGAGATTGAAGGGTATGTCAGATCTTGTTAGACCTATGCGGGTTGTGTCTCAGAGTGCTTAACAGTGGTGTGGTTTGACACCGAGCTGGAAAGAGAGGGGATGTGACCGAAGGTACGATTGAAGCGGAAGATCTTCAGATGGGATTTGAAGACGGGTAAAGAGGGGGCAAGATGGAGGGATTGAGGCAGAGAGTTACAGAGATTAGGGCATAGTGGCTGAAAGTAAATGAGTGGGCAAAGAAGGAAATTGTTTTAATATCAGCAAATGTGCTAGTTAGCTCCACAGCATGAATGGCTCAAATTGTGATGTGATATTGAGTTCTGCCAGTATTATACTGTCTTAAGTGTTCGTTTGTATTTACTTCCTGTACAGTCTTTGTTGCCCACTTCATTCTCGGTGGAAGATGCCTCAATCTTGTTGCAACAGGTGATGAGAACGTTGAATAAACTGTCCAATTCCATGATTTTCGTTGACACTTTTGTGGTCAGTGAGCAGTTCATCAGGAGCTGTGCCGCTCTGTTTGAGCAGATCATGCAACACAAAGCCGAAAAGGTATCGGAAGCTCGTATTCAGTTCCAATGCAAGTCATAGATAGAAAGTAGTCATAGGCAGAGAGGGACACTGAAATCAAAGTTTCTGTAACACAATAATTTTTTCTGCTTGTCACGACAATTGATCACTATCAGGAATTTCCTTTTATCTGTATTCAGCTTTTGTGCAGACGTTATTCTGCCTTAGCTGGAGCACTCTCAACTCTGGAAAACTCTCAATAGGCTGTGGGTTCAAGCCCCACGTTGGGACTTTGAACGCACACTCTACTCTGACATTCCAGTACAGTGCTTGGAGGTGTTGGAGGTGCCGTCCTTCAGATGAAATGCTGAACCTTCTGTCTGCTCAGGTGGACGTTAAAGATCACATGGCACTATTCGAGAAGAGAGTTTCTCCCAATGTGCTGGCCAACAATTATGCAAATAAAATTTGTCATTCACTTCATAGTTGTTTGTGGGACATTACTGTGTGCAAATTGGCTGCAGTGCCCTATTGCTGACTGGGAAGAAAGGTTGAGTATTAATTGTCTACTTTATGGCACATCCTAACATTCTAGTGATTTCTACAGTAAAGATGTTGACGATTAGACAGGTTTTCCAGGTGTTTGATCTCATATTCATTGCATGAAATTCATTATTTGTGTTTCATTACCTTTCTGCTGCATGGAAATCTCTTCCATGTTTTATGCTCTATTTGGTTTGTATATTCCTTTTATCATCTTAAATCATATTTTGTTTTTTTCAAAAAAACTGAGCTCAATTACACATACTCTGTTTATTCTTGTTGCACTTAGGAGGTGCAGAATAATCACGCTCATGTGTTCACCGAGGAAGATCTGAAGCAGGCAGCTATTATTGCAGATAGCATGATCTCTGTTAAAAAGGACAAGCGAGATGAAAGGAAGAAGAAGTCAACCGGTGAAGTTTATAAACAAATTGCGTTGATTACTTTTTTTTAAAAAGGGTATAGGTAAACTTCACTGACTATTTTTAGCAGTTTTCAAATATGAAGAGAACAAATGGTTCTGAAGCCTTTAACGGTATGAATTCTAATGTTAGATTGAGGCTTAATATGTAAAATGTACCTTTCAGGTATACGGTTCTGACATTTTGCAGCTTATCTAATGAGCAACTTTAAGAATGTAAATTTTTGCTGCTGCTTCAGGACAAGCTAAAAGAAAATTCATTTCTTCCGGTTTTGTATTTATGCTAAATGTATAGGGGAGGGGGAGGTCTTTAATTTCCATGTTCCTGAAAAATGGGATGAGTAGTGGACAGTCATTGAGCATTTATTTTCTCTTGGATGCTTCTGTGGTGAGTGTTCAAATATTTCTCCACTAGAGGGCACTGGAAGTATCCGAGCAGGAGGTGGTGGTAATGCCGAGAAATCAGGATCAGAAAAAGCAAAAAGAGGGGAAAAAAGGAAGAGGACAGCGATGAAGAGACTCCTTCAATAGCATCAAGTATGTTATATTATTAGGCTTCTGTTTTGACCAGCATTGTGTTAAGCAATAAAATGGCTCTGATTTGGTTGAATATTGTGCACAAAGTAATAATAATAACAATAATAATAGTTGCATTTGATTTAGCACCTTTTACATCAGGAGGATGTCTCAAAGTGCTTCACAGTCATACCTATAACTTGCTTGCTTCCTCACTCGGATCAAGACCTACCACTTTCTGACTGTACTTTCAGTTATCATTTCCTTCCCCACCCCTGTTGTCCCCCACCCCCAGCTTGGGTGCTACGATTGTTAAGCCTCTTGGAACATCATGTCACTTTTTATAGTTCAGAGGTTAAAATTGTCGCCTTTCTAGTCATTGGGCTACTACCAAAGTCACTATCGACTTTGCTTGTGTGTGTATATGTGTGTGTACACAATCGTCCCTCTGTATGAATTTGCTGACTACTGTCAAAGGAACAAGCATTCTTTCAGTCAAACACATCTTCCCCATCAGTAACTGGTTTGTTACTACATGGAAAATAAATCAGAATTTTACCAGTGAAAAGTTGTTGCAGCCAGACAAAAGGAGTGTCTAGAAAATGACTCGATTTCCCTTGAAAAGGGATGTAAAAATACAATCTTTGTCTGAAATCTAGGCTGTTATTGCTATCAAAGGTTCAACCACAAAACAGTCACTCCACTTTACAATATATCCTGTGAGGAGCTTGAGATGAACTTCAAAAGTGAAAGGATTATTAGTAAAGTTTAGATTTTGCTGACCATTATATAATGGAATGCACTGTTCCAGAAGGCATAGATGCAGAATCGATTGGGATGTTTGAAAGGAATGGGTGTTTGCAAAGTAAAGGTATGAAGAGATGCAAAAAAAGGCAAGCAAATGGAATTACAATGATCTAATCAAATGGTTGAACAGTCTCAAAGAAATGAAAGTCCTGCTCCTGTTGATTTGGCTTATTGTTTTCTGTTTTTAATAGGTAAGAACAAACAGAAAGAGATTCGTTTCATGACCCAAGAAGAAATTGAAGACGTTTTGAAGAATCGGCTTGAGGACTGTCCAGAGGAACTAATAACTGAACTGGCAGCACATTTAATCAGGTAAAACTATCCTGCAACTCAACAAACTAAGAAACGGCATGTTTTCTGCAAATCCTTTCAAGAACTACTGACCAATCAGAAACGCGTTAAGATGAAAAAAATTGATCTACAAATACTAACCATTAAATTAACTGTTTAATTACCAGCATATGATATTTTAAAATTTTGCAATAACACCTTTTAGTTGACTATAAATTCTCTTTATAGTCAAAATATATAGAGGTTGCAAAAACATTAAAATGACACATTATGTATTTATGAATTATCTCTTGGAAATTGTGATACTTTTTAAGTTATTTTGGCTAATAATAATCCTTGCATTTTATATTGTGCCTTTCATGTCGAGAGAACATGTCTAATACTGCAAAAAAGAAATGTAGTGATTGTATATTTTGTCAGTGAATGGGAGATTCACAGATTTTTGTTTACTTTTGATAGACCTCTGAGTAAAAGCTATCAGGAGGTATTGCATTCAGTGTTCCTGTCCACATCCACTGCTGGTTCAGGAGCAAGCAGAAAGAAGACTGTAAAAGAACTGCAGGAAGAAGTCTCCAACTTTTACAACAATATAAGGTTATTCGAGAAGGGAGCCAAACTCTTTACAGGTACATTTTGTGAAATTTGAATGCTGTGATTCCTGAATTGTAGTTAGTATCTCATCAGTTTATCAGGATGTATTCTGTACTGCTGGAAATTCGTGATGAGTTACGTTTGGCTCCATACAGAGATGAATGATTTCTAGTGGCATAATCAATGTCACATTATATATTTATACCACTTGAAATTCACTGAACAAAGCAATGGTCGAAGATGCTCACTGAGATAATTTAGCAATGGTCGAAGATGCTCACTGAGATAATTTCTCCTTGGAGGAGGATGAAGAAATCTGATCCATTTGATATATTCGAGAGTAACACAGAACAATAACAAATTATAATGTTGAAGGCTACTGTGGCTGTGTTTGTCCAGCATAGCACAAGAATAATCAGATTGTCTTTTTAATCTTTTCCTGGTCATGATAATAGAAAGGCACGATAGTTGAGATAACTGTCAGCCCTGCAAGAGGTAACGATGATCTGAAATATTCCAATTACCCACAGGTTTAATTGTCAATATATGTTTTCTTTTTTAAAAATTGAAAATTGATGTGCTCCATAAACTGGGTGTAGTAATTCTAAGCATCTATGTTGCAGACACCCAGATAGTTCTAGGTGTGGCCTGTTTTGACATTTGCTTGGTGGTTATTTCCCTTCACCAATTTTACAGTGCCCTTCTGCCTCTTTTCTCCTGCCCAATGTGTGGGTAGAGTCATTGCACTTCCACACCCACACTCCTAGTTAATGCTCCTCAGTGAAGTTGTAATGTTCTTTGACTCTTGCACCTTCGTAATAAGAAGGAGATTGAACAAAATTTAGAAGGATGCACAGTTTTAATAACCTCCACAGGGCAACAACAACAACAACAAGATTGCATTTATAGAGTGCCTTTCACGTCGGGAGGATGTCCCAAGGCGCTGGACAGTTGGGTCGGGACCCGAGCATCCTCACTTCCACCACCACTTAGTTGGAACGATGTCTAATTATTTCTCCCTTTAAGAATTTCATGGAACAATGCTGTTCCATAACAAGAGCAGCAACAACTTGCATTTATAGACTGTCCTTCGTGCAGGGTCACAACTCTGGAAACAGTAATGGGAACGGGCATCTGAAAGATTCTAAAATTCAATCTGATTCGATCTTAACCAGTTTTATGCAGTTCTTAAAAAGAACCAACTGCAAATGAATCAGATTAAGCCTGAATTTCTTAAGAATTTGTCACGATTATGCTCAGTCTTAAAGTTTAAGACAAAGTGGTCTTTCAGGCTAAGACTCAGTGGAATTTCAGATCAGCTATTTGTGTAAAGGTAAAGCTCCCTTTGCTGAGTGCAACAGGCCAATATCTTTTTCTTGGATGTCTCAGATGACACGCAAGTACAGCTAGCAAAACATGCTCTGAAGACGATCTGCACAGATATCACCAACCTCATTTTCAACTTCTTGGCTGGAGACTTAATGATGTCAGTAGAAAACTACAACACCATAACCCCTGAGGTATGATGAGCTGAGAGTCTTGTTTGAAAAATAATTTAACGCCATTTCATCCTCCGTTCTTTACCAGAAGGTAAAGTTGCAGCTCCTCCTTTCAGTTGTGACTGTCAACTCATAAATTATGCTTGTCATAGATTTGTTTTTTTCATTTTCACAATATATAACTGCAATTTCAACTGGATATTCTTAAGTCTAAGAAGCTTATGTTAAGCATGTAAAAGAGAACATGCTGAATATGTGGCAGAGGGCTTCTTTTGGTTCTCCTGATGATTCAGTATTTATACATTGAGTAGCCGAGATATCCTGATTGGGAAGGTACCAGGTTCAATCATTGATCGGCTGAGTTGGCAGCTCTCAACTGTGGCACCAAAGACACTAAAATTGACTGTCATGTTCCTGGAAATGGAAAATTAGCTAGGGTTCCTGTTCCTACAGCAACTTTTGTCTGTGGGGAGGGGATAGGGGAGGGGAGATGTTGTGCTATTGCCTTTCCCTGGATCATATGTTCTGCCTTGAACCATTGGCGAGGTTTATAAATGAATAATGGTGATTCGGGGGAAGGTACCTGAATCCCTGTGGTACCATAACCATAGCAAAAGAAAGGGTCGGACAAGGAGGAGGAGAAAAAATTGGCAGTGAGAGGGTGGGACTTTGACTTATGAGTGATGCATCTAGAATTAAACTAAATTGTGTTCGCCAACACCATTGATGTTCAGTCAAATGTATCCACAGTTATATATGTATCAATAAGCACTTGGTGTGGAAGAGCCCAGTTGTTGATTGCTGTTTTGAACTACAGCATCACAGTAGATTTGGCACATTAAGCACTTCAAACTCTCGGATTTTTAAATTCAAGAACCCTAAGGATTAAGATGAGGATTCAAATTAAATTGTGAATCTAGTGAAGAATCTCTGTTTTATTACACTTCATTATTCTGTTTCAGATCCGATTGAAAATGTTGTCAAAATTTCCTGACGAAAGCAGAAGTTCTCTTACAAAGCTCCATAATTCCCTAAATGGCAAAGTAGGTTGTTAAACTTTGGTCACTGCAGCAAAGTATGTTTTGTATCAGTTTGGCCCACTGATTTTTAAAACTATTACATTTTTTAATCTTCTAGCTAAGATATTATTTTCACAGTACTTCAGACATTAATTAATATTTACTTTTCTTGGTAAGCACTTTTATTATTAATAATCAGAGAAATTGGTGGAAGTGTTTTACTTAATTACGTCTGTAATCTCGCGGCATTGTAATTACATTTAGCCGGAAGTTCCAGCTTGACGGACCGAATATCCCCCCCTCCCTCCCCCCCCGAATAGTCCGGTTAGCCGGGGTTTAAGTGTATTTGAGACTAGCACAGAACAAATTATAATATTGAGATCTACTGTGAATTTGTTGGACAAGCCTTGTTCGTCATTCACAGAGGTCATCCCAATGAAACAAGGTAATTGAGATATAGAAGACCAAAGAGATATCGTCTGATGATTGTGGATTTATGGATGTAGAATATAGTGGAGCTCAGAAGCAATGGGTAATGTAACTAACTACATATTCTGCACACTGTGTGATAGGATGTCGTTATACAAATGTAATCTTCTTGTTGCTGTAATGTTGGTCGGTGACTGGCCATCCCATTTAATAAGACTAATCCTTTCAGAGGAAACTTTTATAATGCCTTGGGACGTCCTCCCGACGTGAAAGGCATTATACAAATGTAATCTTGTTGTTGTTGTTATTATAATTGGTTGACATGGACTTACTGTTGACTGGCTATCTTCATTGCCCTACCAGAGTACAGAAGAATTTTTTGTAGTGCTGGATGGTGCAGCAGAAATCTGTGGAATTATGCTCAAAAAAGGAGATAAAAAGAAAGAAAGGTAAAAAATTAGAAAACGTTTGTCGACAGGTCTGTTTTCCAGATACAGGAGTGGATGTGGTCAGAGCTTTATATAATATCACTTGGATAAACAAGATGATGTTTGTCCTTAAGAGGTTACAATCTGTTGAATATCATTGGCATTTATTATTATTATTTAAAATTGATGTCCATGACAGACTTTCACACTGAATAGGATTATCTTATTTTAGCCAATAATTTTAATCTTCTTTACCATCTCTCATGCTTTCCAGAAATGTTGCTTTATATTACAACTTTACATTTCTATAGCACCTTTCACATTGGGAAAACATCGACTAAGAAAATGACTGATCTGCTGTGTGGATAAAAATAAAAGTTTTAAGGCGAGATATAATGGAATTCTCACTCTCATCCACAACAGTCATGATTTCCCCAAGCTTAGTAAAGCTTCGTTTCTTTCTAAATTGATAAAATATTTGGAACAAAAGACAATAAGTACGAAGTGAAGCTTTATATAGCCAGTATACAAGTCCCGCAGTTTTACGTTCAGTCTTAACTGGGTCAGGGATAACTTGGTTTACATCTTATCAGGTTGTGTTCATTCAATGCGTTCTCTTTTCTAGGCAAGTGATCTTCCAGCACAGACAGGCATTAATTGAACAGCTTAAGATAACCGAGGACCCGGCACTGGTTCTGCATCTGACATCAGTTCTGCTGTTCCAACTATCTACACACAACATGCTTCATGCCCCTGGCAGATGCGTGCCACAGCTTATCACTTTCCTTCTTACCAAGATTCCTGAGGTAATTCACCAGCTTGTAAATATCTGAAACAAAAACAGAAGTTGCTGGGAATTTCTGTTTTTGTTTTAGATTTCCACCATCTGCAGTATTTTGGGTTTAGCTTGTAAATATCTGTTCAGTATTGAAAGAAGGTATTGATTTTTGGCCCAAGTAATCAAATGTTGTGTCCTATTGTGTTTGATTGTCAAAAAATTGTTGTCTATCATCTTGGTCGGATCCAATTCCGAATCCCTGATTGTCCAGCGCTTTCGGACGTCCTCCCGATATGAAAGGAGCTATACAAATGTAATTTTGTATTCTGTCAGTTGAATACAGATTTAAAGATGGACTAAGGAAATAGCAGCTTATTTTCCTCATGGTCTTAAACAGGAAATAATAAAATGTATTGTCACTTGCTAACATAAGGCATGGGTGTGTCAGCCTGGCTCAGTTGGTAGCACTCTCATCTTTGTCAGAAAGTTGTAAGTTCTATGAGAAATTGTTCTTAACCCTTAACAACAGCAACAACAAAATTATATTTATAGAGCGCCTTTCACGTCGGGAGGACATCCCAAGGAGCTGGACAGTCATGGGTCAGGATCCGAGCATAGGGGAAGGGTGGGGTAGGGGTGAGGGAAGGCAGAGAGGTGGAAGGGCAATCGAAGGCACGATCGAAGAGGATCGAAGAGAACTAGTAGGCAAGTTCAGTGAATTTATGCTACCTTGACTAAGTTTTCATGTTTTATGGTGCTTTCTTCCTATTTTCTCCTGGTTTACTTTCTATCTAACTAATATTACACCATCCATCCAGCTAATCTGTATTTTTTTAAAAAAAATTAAAGCAAAAAACTCTGAAAATGTTTTAATATTCTTCCTTTTCTTGGCATATTTTAAGAAACTTAAACTATCTAAATTTGTGGATGATACTAGGCTAGGTGGGAGAGTAAGATCTGAGGATGATACAAAAAGATGGCAAAGGGATATAGATAGGCGAGGTGAGTGGGCAAGAAGGTGGCAGATGGATAAAAATGTGGGTAAGTGTGAAATTATTCACCTAGGAGGCAAAAACAGAAAAGCAGATTATTTTCTAGGAGAGAGACGAGATAGTGTTAGTGTTCAGAGGGATTTGGGTGTCCTTGTACACCAGTCAGAAAAAGTTAGTTTGCAGGTACAGCAAGCAACCAGGAAGGCTAATGGCATTTATTGGCATTTATTGCACAAGAGTTAAAATACAAGAGTAGGGAAGTCTTGCTGCAACTGTATAAGGCCTTGGTGAGACCGCACCTAGAGTATTGTGTGTAGTTTTGGTCTCCTTATTTAAGAAAGGACATACTTGCCTTAGAGGAGACGCAGCGTAGATTCACTAGTTTAGTTCCTGGGATGAGGGGGTTGACCTATGAGGATAGGTTGTGTCAACTAGGCCTATATTCTCTAGAACATAGAAGAATTAGGGGTGATCTTATAGAAACCTATAAGATTCTTATGGGGCTTGACAGAGTGGACAGTGCGAGACTGTTTCACCTGGTAGGAGAATCTAGAACTAGGCTGAGATTGATAGGTTTCTAAAGGATAGAGGGATTAAGGGATATGGGGATAAGGCGGGCAGATGGAGTTAGATTAGAAGATCAGCCATGATCTTATTGAATGACGGAGCAGGCTTGAGGGTCCGAATGGCCTATTCCTGCTCCTAATTCCTATGTTCCTATGTTCCTATGGCATTGGGTGGTATTAAATTAAATGGAAATGCAACTTGATTATATTTCAGCTCCTTGGGACATCCTCCCGAAAGGCGCTATACAAATGTAATCTTGTTGTTGTTGTATTTGTAGTTAAGTGTGAATGCTACAGAATTGTGAAAATGATAACCATGTTCTTTCCTAAAATAAAAACAGAAGTTTTTGTCTATCATCTATAGTTCTACAGTTCTGACGAAGGGTCGTGGACCCGAAATGTTGACTCACTTTCCTTTCTCCATAGATGCTGCCTTGACCTGCTGAGTGTTCCCAGCGACTTCTGTTTTTGTTTTCAGATTTCCAGCTTCTGCAATATTTTGTGTTTTGACCATGTTCTTTCCTGTTCCTTTCCAAGGATCAGCACAAAGTCCTGGTGAAATACCAAGGTCTGGTAGTAAAGCAGCTGGTGGGCCAGAAAAAAGGAGGTCAAGGTGATGAGGAGTCTGGAGATAGCCATAGAGTCGAGGGGGAAGGTGAAAACGAGGTGGAGCTCGGTCGCAAAGAACTGCAGGAATTAACGCCGTTCATCAAAGACCTTGTTCTGAAACCCAGAAAAACATCTGTGACGGAAGAATGAAATGCTGAGTGGAATCTCGAGGAGCGGCCCTTGTGCTTTACAATAAAGATTTCGCATTTTTGCAAACGCTTTTATTTTAAAATGCTGTACACATCTTAAACACAAGATAAAATGTTGTGGTGGAATGTACTGTATTTTACGGAAGAAATGTTTAACACAAAAGGGAGGGAGAGAGTTGGGAGTACAGTAGAGCATTGTTATAATGCAATAGTTAAGGCTCTAAAAAATCCTGATCTGCGTTTCCACATCTTGATGTCAATTGCGAATATGCGCAGAAAAGACAACTGGCTTCTAGCTCTAATAATTGCCGCATGTGCAGCTCGCAAGAGGTGACTTCAGCAGTGACTTGATGACCTGGAAGTCAGCCATTTTTTAACAGTTGATCGTGGGTCCACATGGCACCTACAATGTAAGCAAATCCGTGTTATAACAGCACTCTACTGTATCTATCTTTGATTTCTGATTTTGTTGAAAGATCTCATTGCGGTTACCTATTAACATGACAAGATTTCAATCAAATGTATTTGAATCTATTGTAAATTGTAAATGTATATTTACGAACCTACTACGGTTTTCGAGAGTACATCTACGTTCAGAGCCTTAAGACCAAGGTCTTTTAAAATTTAAGGTGAATTTAATTTTGAAGGCAGGATTCCACAATTCTTAACATAAACTGTTGGACATTTTTTTTAGCGAGCTATGTCCAGAATGGTTTCAAGAAAGTTGTCGTAAATCTCAAAATGGTATTTTCTTAATTCATAAAATGTTTCCATAGATTCTGTTTGTTGTTTTCAGATTGTTTAAAGGACCGTTTTTGTGGACATGTGTGCCTCAATTGAAGTGTACCTCAGTGCTAGGAATCCCTGCCTTAAAACTTAAAACTTAATAACTGCTGAAGTTACCTGAGAGCAGAGTTGTGACCGTTCATGAAAGAAATTGTCACCATTTTGAGTCTTGCTATAATCCTAGAAACCTGGTTTATAATTTTCATTTTCTTAAAAATTGTAAAACCAAAGTTTCTAATTTGCGTATTTTTAAATGCATAGTTGCTTTAATGCAGGATACTGCATTAAATTGTTTCCTTTCTTTAATTGGTTCTGTGTCATACCGCTTCGCTACTGAAGAAGTAAAGTGAATGTTGTATTTCCCAGCTTCTTCCCTTCTGCATTTGACCACTAGTGAAGGACTAGGAGTTCTTGATTTGCGACACTCCCAGGATTCTTCTTTCCTCTTCCCACTCTGATGAAAGTGTGCTCTATGTCTCTTCCAGACATTTTGGCTTAACACAATATAGTATAGTTTTAGTTAGTGCCTGTACTAGATTGGTGCACTCTTGTCTGTAAACTACTGCAATCTAAGGCTTAGCAGTTGATTTGGTACCCTGATGCACACTGCAATTCTGAATAGAATCCAATTGTTTTCTGTGTATAACTGTAACTGTAATTATACACAGTGTTGCAGATAAAAGAAATTGCAACACTTGCAATCATCATATTGGAAACATGGTATTTCAAAAGCATTTCCCTATGTAAAAGGCATAAATGAAATTGAAACATCACTTTATAACAGTGTGTGTAGTACATTCGCAATCCCTTTCAGTAAAGGTTAGCAGAACATGCTACAGAAACGGTATGCTGCTGTGAATGATTCAAAGCACCTGGTAATAATCATTCATCGTACCAAAAATATTTAATTTAAGCATAACATGTTCCCTTTTTAACTTGGGAAGATTTATTTTTGTTCAAAAGGCAATCAGAATGAAAAGGAATTCAAAAATTTTCTCACCAGTTTTTTTTTCTCTATGCACATTTGCAAGGGAATGAATTTATGTTTTGTGTGATCATATGTGATTTAAAATAGATTTGTGTATTTACTATGATTTGATTCACTGCTACATTCTGCGGTATTGTAGTTTTTCATTAGTTTCATGTACTGTGTACAATAAGTACATTTGGGATTGTAGAAATCTGGTCTGTATAAATGTTTGTGATTTGTGTAGCAGTCATTTGTGACTGGTTTATTGACTGGGAGTCTCGTTTGACTCCCAAAATGTAATTGGACGTATTACTAAAAAACATAGAAATTTACAGCACAAAAGAAGACTATTTAGTCTATCGTGTCTGTATTGGCTCTTTGAAAGAGCAATCCATTCGGTTCCATTTACCAGTTTTTCCTCCATACCCCTGCAAAATACTCACTTTTAGGCATCTAGTTCCCTTTTGAAAGTTAACATGCATTCTGTCTCAACCGCTACACCTTGTTGGGCATTCCACATCCAAACAACACCGTAAAGAAATCCCCATAATCTTCCCATTTGCTCCTTTGCTAATTGCCCAAAATTGATGCCCTCGAACCACTGATGCACCCATTTGTAAAAATAATTTCTCCCCATTGACTATCAAAACCTTGTCATAATTTTAAAGACGTTTATGAAAATACACCCAGTTCCTCCAGTCTGTGTTCATAGGTAAAGCCACTGATTCCTTGTATAATATAGTAAATCTGCACCCTTTATGGTCTAGGCATAATAAAGTAGTCTGACCAAAACTGGACACCATACTCTTAACTGTGGTCTAGGTAACAATTTATCCAGATTAAGGATCACCTCTTCACTTTTATTGATAAGACCTATAATCTCATTAGTTTTCAACACAGCTTTAACCCACTTTTAAAGATTTTGTGTATCTTGAAAGTGTTTGGCATTTGTTAGTTACTTGATTCAGAACAGAAAATTGTGATACAAGGTTAGAGAAACTTGTTTTCTTTACACAGTATTCAATTGCACATGGTAGTGATGTGATAATCCTTGTATTTGTATTGCACCTTTAATGTCAGGAGGCCATCTCATAGTACTTTGTGTGATTTATTGTAAAAACAAGTGTAGTGACTGTATTTTGAAGGCAAACATAGATTGGAAAAATGTCTTGACCGGTAGACTGTCCTGTTATCCTGACGTGTTTAAAACTGACTGATAATTGGGTGTTATCTGAAGATTAATAATTTCTGGCTTTGTTATAACATTAAATTAAAAATAAAGTTAAATTTGAGCTTTGTTTTGTTAAGATATACTGTCACCAGTTTTCTGGCTTATCTAACACCTAGTAGTCCTCGGTAGCCCTTTCTTGGTCACTACCAATCTCAATTGCATCTGACATTGCTCCTTCCAAGCCTATTTTGTGCCGGGTGCCATTTACGTAACTGCATACAATACACCACCCTTCACACGAGTAGCATCTCAGCGCTAATAACAGCATTGTGAATAAGGGGAGGTGACCGAAGGGATGGTTGAGGAGGAAAGTCTTCGGATGTGATTTGAAGATGGGCAAAGAGGGATTGTGGCAGATGATACAATACAAAATTACATTTGTATAGCGCCTTACACGTTGGGAGGACGTCCCAAGATGTTGGACAGTCAGGGATTTGGACCTGAGCTGGGGATCAGGGAGGGATGTGAGGGAGGGACACATTTTATATCTAGCTTGTTAAATTTCTTGAATCTCCTTTATTCACAATAGGTCTATTACATACAAATCCAGTCCCATGTTTAATCCTCAGATTTGGTGGTCCATTTGATAATTATTGAACCTGTTGTGAAATGTTGCATTTCTCACCCACATGTGCGACTCCAGCATCTGAAACTCAGAGTAAGACCACTAGGAAGCAGCACTGAATCATATAATTGTCTTCTTGATGCACAGCACTTATCCAGTGCATGGAATTAGAGTTTACACACGGTATTGACCTTCCTGAATCCTTTCCAGATTAAAAACATTAATAGTGCAACCCACAGATTGCAAGTGACCATTGCATATTAACTGCATTAATCAATTCATTATTGTGTACATTTGGGGAGTAGTGGCAGTGGCCTCAGGAAGGAAGGCAGTATTTTAATATGAGGATTGGATGCAAGGAATGCTGCAGCTCACTTCTCTTCAGGATAAGTTGATCTAATTTGTATGCAGATGCCTATATGAAGGACAGCTTTTACCTACTTATGTATTTACTGCCTGGCACTTTTGCTCCCTGGAGTGAAATGCTCAATTTGGTTTGAGGAGAATATTTTAAATCGGTTCCATTTAAAATGCACATAGTGTATTTAATCAGGAAATAGCACTACTGAAAATGAAATACAGAGAGGGGAAGGCTAGTAGAGTTCGGAATTGCTTTGTCTAGAGACATAGCTATGTACTTTACTTGTGCATCCTACCTTTTTAAACTAAATCCTATTTTTCATTTAGCTAAAGATCCAAATATGTAGATTTAGAATATACTTGTTTAATACAGTAATATATTTCATTTGGTTTTAAGTGCCATGATGATTGCTAGAGGTTCAATAGGTTTAACATATATTGTCAGTCAGAAATGCTACTAGAAATAGTGCCCCAAGTACAAGGATTTTTGCATAAGTTTAGAATAAACACAAGGAATTCTATATATAAATATGTTATGAACCAGTAAAAAAGAGACACTAATGACCTTATAAACTATACAAATTAATCCCAGGTACGAAAGAACCTCATTGTAACCCTCTTCCACCCTATCTGATACTTTGTAATACTTTGACATAAATCTGGTTTGTTATCAATCTTGAGAACAGGGAAACTGGACTTACGGAGAATTAACAATAGGTTTCCTAATGAAATACGGCTGTAATCACATTGAGCATTTCAACTCAAGCTACAGTGATTTTGTACAATGGCCTCAATCAGCAATGATATACTCCCTGGTGTTTGCCTAAAATTGCTTCTGCAAATCTCCGCCTTCTTTATCCTTGGTATTTAAGGTGTTTGAGCACATATGCACTAAGAAATTCTCTGCAAATTCCACTGTAAATTATGCCACAGATTCAACACCATTTCTTACTTCTCGATATAATGTTTACTTCAGGATAAAAACAATCTTCCTGAACACCCTTGGCAGATAGAAGCTTTTTTCCAAAGTTTACTCAACTTTGCCCAAAATATGCCAAAAGTAAATATTTGCACAAAATGAAACGGAATATGGAATATGAACTGACAGGATATGTTAAGCAATATAATGAGAAATATAATAATAATAATAATAATGATAATAATAATAATCCTTGCATTTGATATAGCGCCTTATCACGTCTTCTAGACGTCTCAAAGTACTTCACAGAATATACTGTAAAGTGAATTGACTGTATATTTGTGAGTGAAACACGGCAGCCAATTGCGCACAGCAGTGTCCCACAAACAGTCGTGGATTGAAGTGACCAATTTATTATTGTTTTTTGTTTTGGAGGGATTATTATTAGGCGTGTGGAGTAAGGAAACTTGCCCAAGGTTTTGCCCTGCCTGGAATTGAACCCAGGTCTCTCGCTTGAGAGGCGAGTGCAAACAATTTAACCCTAACCCTAATTTAAAGATATGGACAGGACTGTGCTCCAATTAAAAAAATTCTCTAGTAGTTTACTTGAACACAGTATCTATATATTCCAAGAAATTTGTTGTTTATATTAGGGCACAATGATCCAACCCTTAGATGTATTAAACTAAAAGCTTTGAAACATATGTGTCAGCTTTCAATGACTTAAATCTATTGTTTGAGAAATCTGAATTTTTTTTAGACAACCTTTCTCACATAGAATCCGACAACAGCAGAAGTTTCCTATTAAAATAATAGGAATAGAGAAGCAGGTTAAGTACCCTGTCCTTCATAGTCATAGCACTCAAATTCACTGATGGAAGAAAGCTCTCCTCACTTTGTTAGCTTTAAGAATCCCAGGTGAAATGATCTTAGGGCAGCCTCAACCCAATTTGTGGTTATTGTTATCTTAGCTTTGTGTTGGTGGAGACAAAAATATCTAGCCAGATAGTCTGAAAGTCCCACCTTGATGGTGATGAGGGTGTAGACCATGGGTAGGCCAATGCCCATTATCTCCTGAACATTGAGCAAAGGGAATGGGCGACTCAGTAAGGTTTGAGGAGATCACAGAGTGAGGGTGAGGTGAGGCTGAAAGGGAATTTAAAATCTATAAGGTCTCTTGAGACATTTTTTGAAGTTGAAGAGTCACAACAATGGTCGGTATGGGAATAAAAACTCAAAGCTCGTCCAACAGGGAGAAATATTTATGTCTCCATCAACATAAAGCTGATTTTTCATTGTCAATCTCACTTTGAAAGATCCCAAGAGAGGTTTACATGCAGAAGGTTCAGATCATTTGATCTCATCCTTCCAGAATATCCACTCTACTATCTTCACATTACAGCATCAAATTATTTTGTAAATTTCCAACCACCCTTCTCGGTAACCCATTCCAGTCATTAATTATCCGCTGGGTAAAGAAATACTTCCAGGTATCTGTCCTGAAATTGCCCTTTATACCTTGAACTTGTGTTCTTTTGTCCTACTGCTTTCATGTATCTCAAAGATTTATCCTGGATTTACTTTTTCAATCCCATTTAACATGTTATATACTCTGTAAATTTGCATTGTATTATATTACATTTATATAGCACCTTTCACGTTGGGATAACATCCCAAGATGCTTAACAATAATGGCTTGGTACGCGAGCTGGTGGTGGGAGCTGAGTGGGGTGAAATGACCAAAGGTGCATACAAACAGAGTTTGTTGAGACTGATATTGAACAAGATGAGGGAGGGCTGAGTGGGAGGGATTCCAGGATGGAGTTAGAGAGAATGGGGGCAGATAGGCTGAAAGCCGGACCGCTGCTGGTTGGATGAGAAGTGGGGGGCGGGGAGGGAGTGGCTTGGTTAGTTGGGCTTCAGGAGGTCACAGAGGTAGGATGAGGTGAGACCATGAAGAATTTAATGTCTACAAGGTCCCCTTAGAGACATTGCTTTTCAAGGCTGAAGAGTCAGAGAATGACTGTGGGAATAAAAACTGAAAGCAGATCAAATAGGAAGAGGTATTCTGGGCTCCACCATTTTTTCCATATCTCCTGAACATCTTTAACTGCTTTTTCCTTTTATCTAATTATTAATGGGTGAGTCTCAACACTAAGCAGTAAGCCTGGATGATTTTACAGTAATCCAGGGACCTCAAGGCCAATTGCAGAATTCCAAAGGCTCCCCCTGCCCCTAATTGAGTACAGAGCAGGATTCAAACCTTTAATCTTCTGTTCTACATGGTCTTGATCATTAAATAAGTCACTGCGGAAACTCTTCTGAATTTAAATCACATTTCCGAGCAGAGCAACAGAAGCTTTTTCTGCTCTTGGCTGTCCTGTACTTGATATGAGAGTTTGATTCTGGATATTTCACATTCAGCATTCACATTCCTAAACAGCATAATAATAATCCATTCATTTAATATAGCGCCTTATCACGTCTTCGAGACGTCTCAAAGTGCTTCACAAAATACACTGTAAAATGAATTGACTCTATATTTTGCGGGTGAAATGTGGCAGCCAATTGCACACATCAGTGTCCCACAAACGTCGTGGATTGAGTGACAAAATTATTTTTTTTTTAAACAATTTTTTTTTGAAGGGATTGTTATCCCCGGAAAAGCAATTCGCCGATCGACTAACAACCAGGTTCCTACTTACTGCTAGGTAAAGTGGCCGAAAGTAAAAATATATAAAAATAGTAAATAAAACCTGCATTTGATATAGCACTTTTGACATCAGTGTGATGTCTCAAAGTGCTTCATAGGATTTATTGCGAAGTTTAGTGTAAAGGCATTTTGTAAGCTTATGTGGCAGCCAATTTGCACACAACAATTTCCCAAAACCAGCACAAAGTAAATGATCAATTTTATCTCCACAATTTTTTTTAAAAATATAGAAAGTAATGAATTTTACTTAGGGCGAAACAACTACACAACAACAACTTGCATTTATATAGAAGCTTTCCATAGGGTACCATCTCAGACTGCTGAACAATGGCGGACTTTGATACCAAGCCAGGGAAAAAAGGTAGTTAACCGTAGGCAGTCGAAGAGGGAAACTCTTTAGGCGCAGTTTATTACACAGCAATAAACAACTACAACTAGTTATCAGGAATGAAGGCTTAAACCAAACCATTAGAATTATTGAAGAAACGTGACTCTGTAATGGGAAGATGG